ATTAGGAAAACAAGCAAAATGTAAAAGGTCATAAGATGAGTTTCAAAGGACATGGTCTGCGTGGATTGAATTGTTTTGGAGTGGTCATTCTAGAACAAGAAAAAAATGAATGTCGCTTCTGATGAGCAACACACAGAGCCGGTTTTATAAAGAGGCCACACAGAGGGCCCTGATGGGTCCTGATACACAAACTCACCCTGATTTTGAACCAAATTTACTTGAACTATGAGTTTATTGTTGACAGCTCCCTCTAACAAATCAACAAATGGAACAGAAAACAACACTTTGAAGACACAAAGAGCTGGGAAGATGAAAAGTTAGACATTTAATCTTTTTTTTTTAAGATAGCTTCCTGATGTGACAAAGCTGCAGCAAAGGGGAATGTTAAGTATTTGTGTCAGTGACTGAATGTCCCATGTGGGCAACAACAGATGTTATCAGGCAGTTTAACGTATAATCAAATTTCTGCAGTACCTGAAGGGAATGTGTTTTGAAATTATGTCTATAATAAACAAGTCAAACAAAGAATGCCTGGCTGTTCTCTAATGGATTTCCATTTCACAGCGAATCTGCACACAGAGCAGCACAAACAACAAAACCACAACTATCCGTCACTATTGTCTTTTAATAATTCCACCTTCTGCTACTGTAACGTGTGCTCCTACACTGCCAGAGCCCTTGAGCAAGGCACTACTACATACAGAGCAAGAGGCTCAATTCCTCTGTGGATGATAACAGTCTAAATCCACGGTTGTGGCATTTCAGCTTAGCAGAAATTACAGAAGACACCCTCAGTTACACACTGAAATCCACCCATCCTCCAACAAACACACACTAACATTATTCCCTGTGTAGTCAAATTCTATTTGACTCCTTATTTGCATATACTGTACATGTGAGTGATGACTAAAACCTCAGTACAGCACCAGCATTGGGTATTCTTGACAGAATTTAGGCTAATGTATGTTGAACTAAATATTTTCATAAAGATTACCATTTCTACATTTTTACTTTAACTGGTAGTTGTTTCAGTAGAAGTGGTTTGGCAGTGGAATAGCAGGCTAAGCATGGGAAGTTATAGTACATTTCATTCATGCAACGAAGATTCAAGGGAAAAAAAAAGTGCAATTTGAGCAATGAGGGGTCTTTGCCCTAGCAGAGCTTTATGTCTAGGAACACCCTGAATGGCCTCCTAGATTTTGATACAGGGAGCCTACACAAAACAGGGCCACATGATAAGGTCATAACATAGAATCACCTTAGTTAATTTGAGTGGTGCCAATTCACTGATGTTTTGTAATTTAACATTACCAAAAACTAGAAAACAAAACCACTGACAATAAAGCTGGTGGATTACTTGCCAGTTAGGGCTGCATGTCAAATACCCCAGAGACATTAATCAAGCATGCATCTCAAACACTGCCGATGAATGTGTTTCTACAGGTGGAAAACTAGAATTATGGTATCACACTTGTATGCCTCCATTAACAAGACCTTGATCTTTGACCGCTAAAATCCTTCATCTGTGAGTCCAAGTGGACACTTATGTTAAATTTGAAGAAATTCCCTATAGACGTTCACGAGAATGGGCTGGACTGATGAACCACCCCAAAAAGAACATTTCCTGCCTCCTGCTGCAGCTATCACTGACATGGAGGCCACATTTTTTCAAAATAAATAAAAATGTATGTATATATGCGCAAACTCCACGGGGTAGAGGAGTTATTTTAAACCATTTTTGGTTGCCACTTGGTACGAATGCAGAGATCTACTCTGAGGAGGGTTACGAGGACCCTTTAACATACAAAATTAAGAACTTCATGAAACTAAATAAAGTAAATAGAAGAAATAACAGCACAGGGAATCTATATGTGAAACAACACAAAGTGACACACCAACAGACAGCTTTACACAACAAAGAGACCCAGAACTTGAACCTGTCAGGCCACCCATATGGAAAACAATCAGAATAGCATATTTAAAACAGCTGCCAAAAGGCTTGCACCTCAGACAAACCTTGACTTAATTTGCCTTTTAAGTCAAGATACAAATTCTCTATCACTCCTTTCACGGTGTACCATTTCCATAAGGGGACATACATTTCCCTAATCAAAGGACCTAGACCTACTTTGTCTACAGAGGAAGTTCCTTCTTTATGGAAAATGCCCAGACGTGTATCCAGAAGGTGACACCGAGTTCCATTAGTGGCAGTGTGTAGGCGTGTTTTAGAACCCACCTTAGAAGACAAACAGGCTTCGCCTTCCTGTCACATTTTCACTACATGAAGGAAAACTGCACCCAAAATCTCTCTATCCCCATCAAAAAATTCTTGTAGACCAAGATGTGGCTGTAAAAAAGTTTAATCGATTCATGTTGGTTATAATGGACAACAACGGTGAGAAGTTTTCACAGTAAAAAAAAAAAAAAAAAGAACGGAACATTCATAAAAAAAAAAAATCTCAAACCAACTCAGAAACTTACATGTTCACCTAAATATGTATGCATTCTATACTAATAATAAAGAATTTAGTCCAATAAATACTTCATGACTGATAACAATCTGCTACTTAACAAAGATCACATCCATACAGAGCCCAGAAAGGACAAGAAATTGGGGGGGGGACTACTTTAGATACCATTCTGGAAATAGGAATTGTGTATTAATAACCAAATAATCATACATTTTAATCTATAAGCCACTGGTGGCAGTGGCTGTTAACCAAGAAGAAGCAGTATCTATAACCAGATGTATATGTCTACTTGTTTTCAACACAAGACACTTCATTCTATTTAAGTATGAATAATTAGTCCTGAAGCGGTGAAGTGACCCAGTAATATACTATAAAAGGAAAAAAAAATAGAGGAACATCTTAAAAAATAAACACTTAGGGCTATGTATCAAATGTTTTTTATACTTTATATCCTGTTACAATGGCTGTTCTTATAAGCAGTTTTTTTTTATTTACAGCTACAGATGAAATTATAGTGTGAGGATAGAGTACATGAAGATATTTTTCTATGCAACTGGTTCATTTATTTTGTCAAACTTAAATATTCTGCTCAAATTTCACAGTGCTTTTATTTTGAAGGATACAACAAGACAAATTATTGATTGTGGTGGAATACAAGCTAAATTTATGGAAATTGCAAATTCATGTAAATTAATACACTTGTCAATTCTGGTGCCAATAGTTTGAGTGTCACTACCATTTTAACTTTTTTAACAGAAGCCAAAATCCTCAATTATGAGTCTGTCTAAACTAAATAGAACAAGATTTTATGCTTTCAAACTGCAATGAACACATTTTACAGAAAATTCAGTTGCATGATTTAGATGTAAAATTGTCTTTAAAATTGCAAAATACACTATATTATAAAGAATTATTGCATAAAATTTGCAGAACAATGCAGTTACAAGACAGTATTATAATGAAGTTTTTACAGTTCAATTTTGTTGTTTGTTTGGTATTTTACAGTGAAATTGAATGAGATTTCATGTACAATAAGCAACAAATGCATGTAAATCTTACAGCTAACTTAACAGGAAAGGGCAGCTAGATTTACCCATTTAAAATGTTTTTTTTGTAAATTACAATGGTTTTAAATTGTAAAATTTACAGGTTGCCCTGTAAAGCTGTTTACATTTTTACCGTATTTTTTACAGAATTATTCTGGCAACCACAGCTGCCAGGTTTTTTCTGTAAAATCTACAGGATTTTTTTACTGTGCAAAGAATAAGATTGCAAAATTATGAATCTGACACAAAATTTTTGGTATTTGAGATTTTTTGTTTCTCTGTGCTACAAACAAACCAGCAAAAATGTAAATATTCTGGTTGAATTCACAGCCCTACTTTGAAGGCTCAAACTAGCTGATCACTAACAAGGAGATGGGCATGCTAGAATCTTGTTTAAACATGGTCCATAAAGTCATCTCAGAGGAAACTTTTTGTCTATTATTAATGTCACACATACTCAAAGTATTGAGAATGTCTTTGGTGTTAAAGTGCTGTGTGTGTGCCTTTGTATAAGGGTCAGGGTTAAGGTTAGGATAGGTCTACAGGAAATGAATGCAAGTCAATGTAAAGTCCCCACAAGTAATGAAAACACAGCGCGTATGTGTATGTGTGTGGAGGGGTGATTGAAAAACAAAAAGAAGTGGGAGGGGGTAAGTAAAAATCAGTCCCTTTCTTTATGTATACACAGTGCCCAGTTTGCTGTTTTATAGAAGTGCGACTCAACTTCATGGTCATTTAAGAGGATGGCGTTTTTAAATTTATAGTCTGAGTGTTTCTAATATTTTGCCCATCCTCAATCTAAATGGGTTGGACAAACTAAAATAAACTTTAATTCAAACATAACGCAAGTAAGGCGCATACTTTGTGTAGTGGCGTTGTCTTTATTTTCTAACATTCTTTTTCTATTTTTATCTATGTTTGTACATTTGACCAAAAAAAATTGTGGGGTGTTTTTTTGACGTTTTAGGGGTCTTCTATAAATCGACTGGATACTACTACTGTTACATATTCCAGAAAAGAGCCAAAGCCTGACTAACAAGGAAGCGAAAATTAACTCCAATTACAACAAAATGTGTTGCTTAATAGGCTACAAGGTTTCAGCAGAATAAATAACACCATAAGCTACTAACAACTCGATTCTTTCGAGGGGAATGGTCAACCGCAGCCGACCAGGTGAAACACCGATCCTGCCCCAGATATGTTTAAAACTCCAAAGCTCAAAGCACAATGAACATACACAAAATCCTATATATATATATATACACACACTGAACTTTACTTACCCCCTGTCCTTCGTTGATATAAAAATCTTGTTCTATGTTGGTGTTCCGGATTTTTAGATAACACACACCATATTTTGCTCTGTTTCCTGCGTGTAGAGCCTCAGCGGCCGCTCCCAACCCCTTTTCCCTCGCTGCCTCAACTACTCAACCCTGGCAGACCAGTCCGACACGTCCACCACTCGAGAAAACAATATATTTACCCGTTAAAACAACGTGTGGAATTCAGGGAGGCTCCACCTGCGGAAGTTGGCGTGAAGGTGTTCGGGTCACGTGACATACAGGTAAAGGTGTGCAGTGAATACTTGATTAAACGCGGTGAGAGAATGCTTCTTTACCATCAGTTTTTTTTTCACTTGAATAACATTCGTAATATTTTAATCATCTTAGATGAGCATTTTAGATTTAACATAAAAGTTATTTATTGATATTCGCCTACATATATATACTATAGATAATGGATGGATGGATGGATGGATAATGTAGTATGCTAGTCCTGCAACAGTCCACTGTTTTGTCGCCTAAACCTCAGCAAATATAACATTTCAAGGAGTGCACTGTAATATTTGCTACTTCCAAGGGGGTACAGTATATCTAGAAACAGTGATTAAAGTTTTTACTTTTTATCCAGTTGATGGCAGTAAACCCAGAGTAAAAAGCATAGAAGTGTAGCGACAGGTGACAGGTCTGCAAAATCATAGAAGAAGAAAAAGCCCCGCTTTTTCTGTTGCCTATTGGCCAATCAGGAGTCTACATTCAGAAGCAGCTCACTGTAACTGTAGTGTGGTTTAGAAATCGTACAGCTAGTTAGCTAATATCCTGTCAGAAAGCTAAAAATAACACGTTTCACTGAATAGGTTGCCCAGTGTCTTGTCCTGAGCATTACCCGGGTAACCACCTCACACCAAAACCTTGTACCATGGTCGGTGTTAAAGTGATCGGGAGCGACCCGGATTTCCAGCCGGAGCTAGCGGCCGCCGGCTCCAGGCTTTCAGTGGTGAAGTTCACAATGGCTGGGTAAGCTTACCAAAGTGGCTTCGAGGCCTCGCTGTTGACCGTGCTTAACTGGCGTATTAGCACCTCCTATTAACAGAAGATTTGAAAACATTCACAGCTCGTCATTTAACTGCTTTGGAGAGCTGACATGAGTTGGATAGCTACATTATATGACAGGAGTATCTGGATAGCCAGTAAAGCTAAGTTAGCTTGCTGTCGTTAGCAGGCATTAGCGACCTAGCTCTGTTGCTTACAATGACATAGCAGTATTTACAGTAACTTGGCTGCTGAGGAGTTGTAAGATTTATTGATATGTTGGCAAATTAAACTGAGCGTGTGCTGTCCCCTTTAGTCTGTGATATAATAATGTTTTGCAATGTTTCTCTGTTAGCATATCATAATGTTAGAAAGTTATCACCTTGCTTGTTTTATGATAGTACAGCTGATGTTTATCAGAAAATATAGTACCGCATGAGCGGCAGTACAAGTAAATACAAGTATCTATTTATTTTTGTTACTTCTACCTTATATTCAATAGGTCATACCCAAATTATTTGGGTTACCATAACTTACAAACAGAACTAAGAAGAAAATCCTCACACTGATATACTGTAGCTTGTTAAAGTTTTGTGTTAACTTGATACATCGTTGGTTTCTTTAAAATGGCCTTGCTAATTAACTGACTACTGGTTTCAGCACCACATGAAAGACCCCAGCAGATTGCTAACGTACTGTCCTTCATCTCCTCAGGTGTCGGCCCTGTGTCAGAATAGCTCCAGCTTTCAACACGTTGAGTAACAAGTACCCACAGGTTGTCTTTCTTGAAGTAGATGTTCATGTGTGTCAGGTAAGTCTCAACTGCCCCATCTACCACATGGTTTTTATGTATGTCCAAAAAACAGTTGGAGAAAAGATTAAAGAAGAACAACTGCATAATGTTGAATCACTTTCCTCTGAAAACCCACATGTAGCCTTGATGTTTACAGTTATTACATTACTCTTTTATGACTATTAAAGCAGTATCAGACCAATCCAGGAGTCAGATTGGGAGTACTTGTGTTGACACATTCAGACCAGTGGCATCCATTAAGTTGTAAAGCAATCCCCACTTTTTTGTTTCTGAGTTCATTTGTGAAGCAGCTGCAAACTTAACTGTTAAATGTCACTCATTTCCTGTGGAATCACAATAAATTGACCTAGAAGCATCAAAAGGAAAATCTGTCATTGAAAGAAAGGGTGTTTTTTGTTTATTTGACATATACCAATCATCATCTCACTACATTTTAGCATAGATGACTAGTGGAACCAGCTCCCATAAAATTTGTAGGGTGTTGTCTGGGGGATGTATGCTAGGGCTGGATGTTCTACAGTGCTTTGCTTATTGTAAACAAATGCCATGAATACTTTGTGACTTCCCTGCCTTGTTTGTGGCCCTCAGGCTTAAGCCTGCTGTGGCCTACTGAGAAACCAATAGGCTTTTCCCCAAAACAGGTAGCAGCCATTGTTTTGACATTGAAATTGGAACAATTGGTTGATGTTAGGCTGTAAATTTGGTTTAGTTGGCTTTGCTGAAACTGTAGACCAAAAACATGAATGTGCCATCTTGTAAGAGCAGACAGCAGAAAGTCTTCATTCTGACTGAGATTCAAAGTGAACACAAGTTGCCAGACAGACTCTGGTAAATAATATAAAACAAGAAACCGTGTTAATGATATCAGATGTTACTATTAAAGAAAACCTGAAAAATAAAAAAAAATGGATACAAAGCAAATTGTACAAAACCATTTATGTTTTTCTCAGGCGACAGCAGCAGCCAACAACATCTCAGCCACACCGACGTTCTTGTTCTTCAGGAACAGGGTTCGGGTGGATCAGTATCAAGGGGCAGATGCTGCAGGTCTCGAGGAGAAGATCAAACAGCACACAGAAAATGACCCGGGTAACAGCGAGGACTCGGACATCCCAAAGGGATATGTGAGTCTGTGTTCCTCACCGTTCATCATTCTCTCAGAGGGTTCTGGTTGTTTACTATCAAGGCATCAGTATTTTTTTAAATGGTCCTCACTGTCTTGCCTTTTTTTTTTTTTTTTTTTTTTTTTAAAGCATAAGCCACTTTTGGTTGAAGACGAATGCCTTCAAATAATAATTGACCCAAAAAAGACAGGAAAACACAAAATATGTGTCATGAAATTAGAAACAGAATTTGTTTCAAAGTGATGTGAATAAATGTAAAATAAATATCGAAATCCATCCATAAATATCAAAAGAGAGCTATAAGTTGAGTTTGTCTTGTCTGGTTTGTTTTCAGATGGACCTTATGCCTTTCGTCAACAAAGCCGGCTGCGAGTGCCTCAACGAGAGCGACGAGTGTGGCTTCAATAACTGCTTAGTCAAGGACTCGTCCTACCTGGAGTCAGATTGCGATGAACAGGTACGAGCTGTCATTACGGTTTATTTGCAGTCTTAATATTTGTGCATAAAATTTGCAGATGGTAAGAATGTGTGCATTTGTTTTTTGTTTTCTTTTCAGCCCCTTTAAGAATCCAATCTGCAGCTACTGCTAAAACCTTGATCGGACAGTTCCTTGCAGATAATATTTTGTGGGGTTTCATTTGTCTGTGTGTGTGCACGCACAGTTGAGCTGTGTTTTTCCGCTGCACTGTAATGTTGTTTACCTTGCTAACGTGTTGGAGGTGTGCTAGTCCCAAACCACCCTGAGAGCCAGTGCCTGCAGTTCACTGTTGCTCTTTCTGTTTGTACTACTCCTCCCTGCAAGATTTAAAACTGATCCACTGACCAAATAAATAGATCTGACCTGTTTTTATTGAAGAATAGCACAGCTGATGACTCTGCACTTAAATGAATATTCATTTAACACCAATTATTTCTGAAAATATTTGAATTAATTATGTCTCTGCTACACTCTGCACTCCGCTTTGTTTTATGCATTTTAAATAAACTGGTAAACCTTAAAAAAAAAAACACTGCCTACAGACGTGTTTGAGCTCCTTGTGAGCACAGATGTCGGCCAGTCCTTATTGTCTAAAAATGTCAAATGCTGGCCCAAGTAACTGGCTAAGCAATCAGTCAGTCTACCACTACTTCCAATAATGAAATGATTCTGGCATTTGAAACTCATCACATGCATGAAGGAAAATGGCCAGTCATTCCAGTGAAATCTGGTCCACAACTGAGCTGCACTCCACCCATATACCAAACACCACATACAAAGGCCATTTGTACTGGTGACACCTTTTTAAATGGCAAATGTCCCAGTGGTACTAGTTAACAAAACACAATGGAAACAAAAGGTAGAATCTATAACCAAGCCCCTATGGGTTATTAAAAGTAATGAGCTCTAGGTCACAGATTGTAAGACCCCTTGGAGGAAAAAGCAAAATGCCACATAAATCTTAAACCAGAAGTATCAACATCTATCCAGGAAAATGACTGATTATTATTATTAATCACATTTTTTCATATTTCATAGAAATTTTTTTTTCCCCTCTGTTGCCTCAGGACAAATTTTAGATTTTTAGTTCTCTGTATTCATTAGTAGTAGAGAGTCCAGCCTCTCTCGAGGAGGGAGTCCAGTTTGGGGACCACAGGATCTCGTCTCTGCTTTTTGCAGACGACGTTGTCCTGTTGGCCCCATCAAACCAGGACCTCCAGCGTGCA